CTAACCTATAAAGATAGGTTAGGTTAGGTTAGGTAGGGTTGGTTAGGTTCGGTCATATATCTACGTTAATTTTAACTCCAATAAAAAAAATTGACCACATACATAATGAAATGGGTAGCTTTATCATTTCATAAGAAAAAAATTAGAGAAAATATATTAATTCAGGAAAACTTGGCTTATTAGGCAAATCGGGCCTTGCATAGTAGGCTGAGAAGTGTGTTCTGGCTACTAGGTACGACATATATATATATATATATATATATATATATATATATATATATATATATATATATATATATATATATACACATATATATATATATATATACATATATATATATATATATATATATATATATATATATATATATATATATATATATATATATATATATATGCTGCTGCTGCTGCTTTCCGGATGGGTACTTGGGTTGTTGATGCTTGGTTTGTCAGGCCGGGTGTGCATCATGTGTTATGTCCGGTTGCGGCTCTCCGCCATTATTTGCGCGCTGCGGCTTCTGTGACTGGGGGGCGCACTTTGGGTTGATCCTGTTTCCCTTCTTCCCTGTTCTAGGGTTCGGGTCTCTCAGGTCGTCCGCAGGGTTATTCGGTCCAGTCACCTTGCGGTCTATCCCTGTGCCCATGACCTTCATAAGTTTGCGGCGTTGGCTGCCATTTTCGGTAACGTCCTGGGCTGACATTCGGGCACAAGGTTTTTGGCGGTCGAACAGGGTCATGGCTGCAAGCTACCTTGTTAATGTTACTAGGCCTATTTGGGCCTGTGTCGCTTTGGGTCGGCGGTTGCAGCCAGTTGTCTCGACTTCAGGTTGATGTGCAAGCACTGATTGCCTCCCAGGTAAGTCCCTCTAGCTTTTGTCTTTGGTGATGTAGCTCCGGGGAGCCGAAGGGGCTCCCCTCAGAAAACCAGCGTTAAATGTAATGAAACTCCATTTTCTGGGTGAGACCCGGGGATTCCCCCAGCAACCCCTTCCCCCCAGTCGACATTTTTCAGGGGAGAGCCCCTACGGCTCCCCGGTGCTATCCAGGCTGATATGCTAATATCAGACTTTGGCATCAGTCATGTGTATGGAGTTCTTTGGGCCTAACGGGGACCACGGCCAGAACCTGGCCCCCCCTCAGAGAGGCAAGGGGAGCAATGGCCTATAGAAGCCCCCCGTGTGGTTGGAAGCATTCTATGTCTGCCATTGACTGGGTCAGGCACCCAGAAAGGTAAGCATCCCAAAACAAACCCCAATTCAGGTGAAAATATTGCTACCAAAAGCTAAACAAGTGAATAGAACTCCCCAAACAAAAACGAGCAAACTATTATGACGTCACCTGTTGCCGCGCCGCCGTCTATGCAGTTCCCCCCCTCCCCGGGAGGAGGAAGGGGGAGCCCCAGGCCTACCGGGCCGGCGATCCATACCCCAGTTCTTGAGGCTGATGATATAGGCAGCGGTTGTGTGCTCTGGCTCCAGAATTTTACGGTGCTGTGCCTTGTGTGTGGTGGCTGTTCTCCAGGGGTGCGAGAGCCAGGAGTTACTCTTCAGTACTCAGGCTGTATGCGCCTAGGTTCCCTTTCCTAGGTACCCTGTAAGTACTCCCCCTTGGAGCTTGGGGTTACCTTCCTCAGGTTCCTTGGGATCTGCTTCTGTGGGTCCGTTTAACCGCTCGGTTTTTCGTCCGTCCTTTGGGTACTTAGGTGTTTTGTCTCCCTAGTTTACCTTAGGATAGGAGGCAGTTTTGCACTGGTAAGGGGCACAGGGTGCTGTGCAGCTTGTTGTCACCAATCACAGCGGCCGGCTCTGTTCCTTGGGGTATGTTGTCCTCTTGCGCGGTTTTGTTTTCTTTTTGTTTTTGCCTTGGTGGGGGGTTCTGCCCTACTTGCCACTGATGTTTGGCCTCATCCTGATACTTGATGGTACCCCATGATTGGTCCCCATGAGCATACATGTTCCTGGGGTTCAGCTGTAGACAGTTTAGTAGTTTTGGGCGCCGGTTAGCAGTACCCTGCCTGGGTTTACGTGAGAGCATGTCTTCTTATAGTAAATGCTCAGGACCCTGGGAATCCCCTAGGAGACGCATGGGTCCGATGGATGCGACCCCAGAGTCCCCCTCGCTTCATGCATGTTTGAGGGTTGTTCGGCTCCCTTGTCTCAGGGCGACCCTCACGTTTTTTGCCTCCATCATGCTGCCTGTTGGGTCGGTGACACTTTTAACCCTGATTCCTGTGAGTTTTGCTGCTTGTCGGCGACTCAATTTTCCCAATCTGCAGATAATCATCTCGGGTACAGGCTGCGCAGGCGTTGCATTCTAGGTTTCGTTTGTTGCAACGCTCTATTGGTTGCTCACCCGGCTGCCCCATTTTGTTTATAGGGACCCGAACTTGGAGGTGGGGGTCGCCTCGACCCTGGTTCAGTCCGCACCTCCTTGTCCTTCCCCTCCTGTTGTTCGTTCTGGGTCCCTCCCCTGCTTCCAGCCCCGAAACGTCTGAGGGTTTCGGAGTCGGGGCAGGGGTTAGTTGGTCTTGAGACTCGGGCAGCCTCGGGGGATGCCCCTTCCAGTGTGGCGACGGAGGCATTCGAGTCTAGTCCCCTGGCCGAAGCCTTTGGGTCTGGCCAGTGGGCCCCCTTCTGTCTGGCTTCTACGGCTGCGCTGGCCTTGTCTGGTAGGGTTGGTGCTTGGGGGGGGGGGGACTCAGCCCCCGTGTCCTGCAGAGTAGGACCTTGGGGCTGGGGAGGGGCTGACTTGGGGGCCTTGGGGCTGGGGAGGGGCTGACTTGGGGGCCTTGGGGCTGGGGAGGGGCTGACTTGGGGGCCTTGGGGCCCCGCTGGACCCCACCTGGGTTTTTCTGCCCTCTGAGCGGGGCTTACTGTTGCACGGGGTGGGATTTCTTTTTCCCTCCCCTGCGTACGAGTTGGACTTAGTGTCTGCCCCTTCCCTGGTTCGGTTCCATGTTCCCCCCGGGTACTTTGGTTCCGTCTTTCCGGAGAATTTCGGCTTATCCCATCCAACCTGCTGCAGTGCGGGCGGCCCTTGGGGCAAACCTCCTGCGTGACCCGGATTATGCCTTGGCAATGGATCCCTCGGCTTCGGGTTTGAGACTTCATTCCCTTTCTGGCTCTGATACGAGGTTCCGGAGTCGCCAGAGTTTCTGCTCTTTTGGTCGGGGCAATCGGTTTGTTCGTCTGCAGCCTTCTTCTTTTCTGGCGAAGAATGAGACTGCTGCTTTCCGAGGGGTTCCTGGGTTGTTGATGCTTGGTTGGTTAGGCCAGGGGTGCATCATGTTTTGTGTCCGGTTGCGACACTCCGCTGTTATATGAATACCACGGCTTCTGTGTCAGTGGACGCGCTTTGGGTTGATCCAGTTTCCCTTATTCTCTGTTCGCGGGTGCAGGTCTCTCAGGTCGTCTGTAGGGTTATTAAGGCTAGCCAGCCTGTGGTCTATCCCCGTGCCCATGACGTTCGCAAGTTCACAGCTCTTGCCGCCGTCTTTGGCAATATGTCTTGGGGTGACATTCAGGCGTGGGGATTTTGGTGGTCGAACAGGGACCTGGCTGCTCGTTACCTTGTTAATGTCCCTGGGGCTCGGTCGGGCCTGTCACTTTGGGTCAGCGGATGCAGCCAGTTGTCTCAACTTCGGGTTGAGGAGTGAGCAGCAACCGCCTCCCGGGTAAGTCCCTCTTTTCCTCTGTGTAGTTAGCTCCGGGAACCGTAGGCACCCCCCCCCCCCCCCCTCCCCCAGAAAACCAGCATTGAATGTAATGAAACTCCATTTTCTGGGTGAGACCCGGAGGCTTCCTGGCATCCCTCCTTCCCTCTGGTTGGTGGCCTGGGTTTATATTGCGTATTTTGACATCCAGCCTCAGAACTGGGGTGTGGATTGCCGGCATCGTAGGACTGGGGCTCCCCCTTCCCCCTCCCGGGGAGGGGGGAGCTGCACAGACGGCGGCGCGGCAACGGGTGACATCATAATAGTTTGCTCGTTTTTGTTTGGGGAGTTCTATCCACTTGTTCGGTTTTTGGTAGCAATATTTTCACCAGAATAGGGGTTTGTTTTGGGATGCTTACCTTTCTGGGTGCCTGACCCGGTCGATGGCAGACATAGAATGCTTCCAACCACACAGGGGCATCTATAGGCCATTGCTCCCCTTCCCTCCTTGAGGTGGGGCCAGGTTCTAGCCATGGTCCCCGGTAGGCCCAAAGAACTCCATACTCATGACTGATGCCAAAGTCTGTCATTAGCATATCAGGCTGGATAGCTCCGGGGAGCCTCCGAGTCTCACCCAGAAAATGACGTTTCATTACATTCAACGCTGGTTTTTTCACATGTTTTGACATACAGCCTCAAACTAGAGAGTGGATCGCCAGCGTGGTGGGTCTGAGGGCTCCACCCCTTTTCCCTCCCGGGGAGGGGGGAGGTGCACAGACATGCGGCGGCTCGTGTGACATCATGCTCGTTTGCTCATTTTCATTTGGGAAGTTCTGTCCACTTGTTTGTCTATTTTAGTCATTTTAACCAGAATTGGGGTTTGTTTTGAGGCGCTTACCTTTCTGTGTGCCTGGCCTGGTCAATGGCAGACATAGAATGCTCCTAATCCCATGTGCATTTATATAGGCCATTGCTCCTCGTGCCTCGCTGAGGGGGCCAGGTTCTGGCTCGTGGTCCCTGATAGACCTAGAACTCCATACACACTGATGCCAAAGTCTAATGATATTCATATCAGCCTGGATAGCTCCGGGGAGCCTCTGGTTCTTACCCAGAAAATGGCGTTTTTTACATTCAACGCCTGTTTTTTTCTGTTCCTGTTAAAATATGAACCATTAGGAAACCATTCCTCCTTCAGGAAAAGTTGGAGCATTTACCATGTAGATTATACACAATAAATTTGAGTGTTTGAGGAAGGTTGATAAATTTGGCTCCTGGCACCTTAAAGTAGCAAAAACAAAGGGCAATTCATTCTTGTGTTGCTGAATTTAATGAGTGTTGTGTATTTCAGGTTGTTTCCCAACGTCCAAGAGAACCTTCCCCTACTTCCATGGACAAGGGCAAACCACCACCTGCAAAGCTTGTGCCATCCCTAGTTCAAACTTCTGCAGACTCACAGTCACAGCCTCATTCTACTTCAAGGACCATCTTGCACCCTTACCGGCAGTCAAACCAACAAAGTCACCAGCTAACACAGTCCAGCAGGCAGGCTTCAGTGCCTACTCCTCCTCTGGCAGCTAATGCCACTTCGTTTAATAGTAAAGAGACAGTTACTAATACTCCTCCTTTAAGTGGCCCTAGTAGCTTAAGTAATATCTTAAAAGGAATGGACACAACAACTAAAGAAAAAGATAAAGGCTCACAAATGGTAACAATTAGAAGAGTGATGGATCCCAACAACTCTGAGCCTACTGTTACTATAACACTCAAAGGTGACCAGCCGGAGAAGGACAAAGTGCTCTTCAAGTTGGTGAATGGCCAAGGTGAGGCCTTTGCTGTAATTTTTGTTGCTATTCAATTTTATATGTGCATTTTTTTTTATTCAGTTCAACATGTTATGTGCATTCATGTTCAGGTTTAACACTTTAAGTGTAAAACCTCTATAGATACAGAGCATCTTTCTCTTCTCACTTTTAATTTTGCTCCCCTGCTTCAGCCTGAAACTACATCTCAACAGCTCAAGAGTAAGAGTCCCGTTGGAAAGTTTGCTAGATATTTGCTCACAATTCATGAGTTCAACCCCACATTTGGTTATATTTCAGGAAAACTAAATGTTATAGCTGAAGCATTTTCTCAATATGTAGCTGCAATTCATGTAAATTATCCAGCATTAGATGCTACAAGTTGAGACAGAACAGAGAAAAGCCCCCATATGGCACCTGTCATTAAGTTTTTGACTAAGCAAGATACTTGTCCGATTCACAAACCTCCAGTACCATTGAAAGAGTTAGTGATGATAGACAATTTACTGTGTAGAGTAGTAAAGCTAGGGCCCCTACCCTAGGAAGTGCTGCCAGTTAGTTGTTCCAGCTATCTTAGTACCAACTGTCTTAAAAAATGTCCATGATGCTCCTGCAAGTGCACATCCAGGAAAGGATCGTACACTACAGCAAGGTTGGTTCAAGTATTTCTGGATAAAATAGCTAAAGAGATTGCTCATTATGTTGATGGGTGTTTAATCTGTTTACAGCATAAGGGAGACATCATGGGACCATATCCTATTCGTGAGTACCCAACGACCAAGGCACCTTTCGAATGAGTATCAATGGATTTGTTGACATTTTGCAGAAACTGAATAGCAGAACAAATACGGGTGGTGAAAAGGTGCCATTCAGTTGAACTATATCTCACTACATCCTCATCAGTCAATTGAACTATATCTCACTCCATCCTCATCAGTCAGTTGAACTACATCTCACTCCATCCTTATCAGTCAGTTGAACTACATCTCACTCCATCCTCATCAGTCAGTTGAACTATATCTCACTCCATCCTCATCAGTCAGTTGAACTACATCTCACTCTATCCTCATCAGTCAGTTGAACTACATCTCACTCTATCCTTATCAGTCAGTTGAACTACATCTCACTCCATCCTTATCAGTCAGTTGAACTACATCTCACTCCATCCTTATCAGTCAGTTGAACTACATCTCACTCCATCCTTATCAGTCAGTTGAACTACATCTCACTCTATCCTTATCAGTCAGTTGAACTACATCTCACTCCATCCTTATCAGTCAGTTGAACTACATCTCACTCCATCCTCATCAGTCAGTTGAACTACATCTCACTCCATCCTCATCAGTCAGTTGAACTACATCTCACTCTATATCCTCATCAGAAAAATAATACCTGAGGTAAAATGACCCGAATGGGCAAACTTCTCGACTCGAGGGGAGGCAGCAGCTGTCAAAAGCGTGGTGACGAAAACCGCCACCCACGCTGCGGTGTCAGCATGCCATGTGGGGTATATAGAGAATGGGAATATGTTGGCTCATAATAATCAGACAGTACATGGAATTTTAACAAATATTTTAATTGTTGACAGCATTAATGTTGTGTCAACAAGAATTCGTGACTAAAACTGCATGCAAACAATACACTATGTGTATTGTTTTAAGGACTGCACGATCATCATCATGACACCAAAGTATTAACCAGACAGTGGTTTGTTTTGATTCACCTACCTTTCTGGGTCCTTCCCTTTCGATGGCAATTATGACATACTCTAAACGGAAAGTGCTCAGAGACCATTGCTCCCCGTGCCTATCTGAGGGGACCAGGTTCTGGCTCATGGTCCCTGGTAGGCATAAGAACTCTTGTGACTGATGACCCAAACTAAATTATTTCAGATAGTTTTAGGGAGCCTTTTGTGCTTACCCAGAAAATGGCATTTCATTACATTCAATGGTGGTTTTCTGCTGCCCAGTCAAAAATTTTATTAACCCTTGTGTTGCTAAGGTCTATTTAGCCATTGTCACCCACAGGCGCATAACAAAAAAAAAATCTTCTAAACCTGTTAATTTGTGTGTTAATTTGTGTTTCCTGATCACGGGAAATATAATAATACAAAAATTTTAAGTGGCATATTTTGCCCGCTATAGGGCGGGGAAGTCTGGCAAAAAAGAGGCGCAGACTCAGCATGTAATTACCTAAGTGTAATTACCTAAGTGTAGTTACAGGATGAGAGCTACGCTCGTGGTGTCCCGTCTTCCCAGCACTCTTTGTCATATAACGCTTTGAAACTACTGACGGTCTTGGCCTCCACCACCTTCTCACTTAACTTGTTCCAACCGTCTACCACTCTATTTGCGAAGGTGAATTTTCTTATATTTCTTCGGCATCTGTGTTTAGCTAGTTTAAATCTATGGCCTCTTGTTCTTGAAGTTCCAGGTCTCAGGAAGTCTTCCCTGTCGATTTTATCAATTCCTGTTACTATTTTGTACGTAGTGATCATATCACCTCTTTTTCTTCTGTCTTCTAGTTTTGGCATATTTAATGCTTCTAACCTCTCCTCGTAGCTCTTGCCCTTCAGTTCTGGGAGCCACTTAGTAGCATGTCTTTGCACCTTTTCCAGTTTGTTGATGTGCTTCTTAAGATATGGGCACCACACAACAGCTGCATATTCTAGCTTTGGCCTAACAAAAGTCATGAACAATTTCTTTAGTATATCGCCATCCATGTATTTAAATGCAATTCTGAAGTTAGAAAGCATTGCATAGGCTCCTTGCACAATATTCTTAATGTGGTCCTCAGGTGATAGTTTTCTATCTAGAACCACTCCTAGATCTCTTTCTTTATCAGAATTCTTTAAAGATTTCTCACATAATATATAGGTTGTGTGGGGTCTATGTTCTCCTATTCCACATTCCATAACATGACATTTATTAACATTAAATTCCATTTGCCAAGTGGTGCTCCATATACTTATTTTGTCCAGGTCTTCTTGAAGGGCATGACAATCATCTAAATTTCTTATCCTTCCTATTATCTTAGCATCATCAGCAAACATGTTCATATAATTCTGTATACCAACTGGTAGATCATTTATGTACACAATAAACATCACTGGTGCAAGAACTGAACCCTGTGGTACTCCACTTGTGACATTTCTCCATTCCGATACATTGCCTCTGATTACTGCCCTCATTTTTCTATCAGTCAGAAAATTTTTCATCCATGATAGAAGCTTACCTGTCACCCCTCCAATATTTTCCAGTTTCCAGAACAACCTCTTATGTGGAACTCTGTCGAAAGCCTTTTTTAGGTCCAGATAGATGCAGTCAACCCAGCCATCTCTTTCCTGTAATATCTCTGTGGCCCGATCATAGAAACTGAGTAAATTCGATACACAGGATCTTCCTGATCGAAAACCATACTGTCTGTCTGATATTATATCATTTCTCTCCAGGTGTTCTACCCATTTAGTTTTGATTAGCTTTTCCAATACTTTCACTATTACACTTGTCAATGATACAGGTCTATAATTGAGGGGGTCTTCCCTGCTGCCACTTTTGTAGATTGGAACAATGTTAGCCTGTTTCCACACGTCTGCTACGATTCCTGTACACAGGGATGCCTGAAAGATCAGGTGAAGTGGAATGCTGAGCTCAGATGCACATTCTCTCAGAACCCATGGTGAAACGCCATCTGGGCCAGCTGCTTTGTTCTTACCGAGCTCCTTGAGCATTTTTTCCACTTCGTCTCTAGTCACCTCTATGTGCTCTATGTTGTTCTCTGGAATTCTTATTGTGTCTGGTTCTCTGAAGATTTCATTTTGTACAAACACACTTTGGAACTTTTCATTTAATGTTTCACACATTTCCTTTTCATTTTCCGTGAATCTGTTTCCCATTTCCAACCTCTGGATATTATCCTTTACCTGCAATTTGTTGTTTATGAATTTGTAGAATAGGCCCGGTTCTGTTTTACATTTATCTGCTATCCCTTTTTCAAAATTTCTTTCTGCCTCTCTCCTTACTGCTGTATAATTGTTTCTCGCATCTTTGTATCGCTGGTATGTTTGGGGGTTTGGCCTCTTCCTATACTGATTCCATTTTTGTGTCTTTTGGTCTCTTGCCCTCTCACAATTTCTGTCGAACCAATCCTGTTTTCTGGTCCTGCATCTCTGTTTTGGTATAAATTTTTTTTGTGCCTTTATCATATATTTCACAAAACTTGCCATACATCTCATTCACTTCCTTGCCTAGCATCAAGTCTGTCCAATTATACTCACTAAAAAAATTTCTAAGGTCACCATAATGTCCTCTCCTGAAGTCTGGTTTTTCAACTGCTTCAACCTCCTTATATGTGTCCGAGGCGGTCTGCTCAACCCCAGCTGTCAGGCAGGAGTGGCCACAAAGAGATAATTACCTAATTATTTCAATGTCTCTGGGGGTTTTTCTTCATTTTTTGCTGTAATATTCAATAGTGTGTAGTGTGATATATTTATATAATAAAATGTGTGAATCATCACTGTACTCAAAATTATGGTGTGCATATTATTGATTCAATTATTGTGTTCATAAAACTATAAACAAATACTTTGTTGGTTATTACACTATATACACAGGTTATATATACATATCTGCATGTTTTGTTCACCATAACGAACCAGTAAGTTGATACTACAAGTCAAAAAGCTGCGAGGTGTGGCCACCCCATCTGCCAGTCAGCCTCTCACCGTCACTCCCTCAATGACGCCTCACTCGCCCACATCCCCCTCCCACCATACTGTTCTTGCTTTTATTCACTATATACAGACGTTATATATAAGTATCTACGTGTTCTGTTCACCATAACTGTTCAACTAAGCTGGTATAGTGCCCAAAGAGCATAGTGGCCACCCCTACCCAGCATGATAAATCATGCAGATGTTGCCACCTCTCTCACCAAAATGGCTTTTCCCCCCCACACTCCTCTTGCTGTTATTACACTATATATACACACAATATATATCTACATTTGTGTTCACCATAATGAACTACTAAGTTGGTATGCTGAGTGACAGTGGCACCCCACCACTGGCTGTCACTCACTCCTTCCCTCACCTCATCTGACTTGCCACCATTCTCCTCCCACCATACTGTTCTTGTTTTTATTCACTATATACAGATATTATATATAAGTATCTACATGATCTGTTCACCATAACTGTTCAACTAAGCTGGTATAGTGCCCAAACAGCATAGTGGCCACCCCTACCAGCATGATAAATCATGCAGATGTTGCCACCTCTCTCACCAAAATGGCTTCTCCCCACACTCCTTTTGCTGTTATTACACTATATACACGTTATATATAAGTATCTACATTTGTGTTCACCATAACGAAGCACTAAGTTGGTATGCTGAATGGCAGTGGCAGCCCGCCACTGCCTGTCACTCCCTCCCTCCCTCGCTCACCTCACCTGACACGCCACCCTTCTCCTCCCACCATACTGTTTTTGCTTTTATTCACTATATACAGACATTATATATAAGTATCTGCATGTTTTGTTCACCATAACGAACAACTAAGCTGGTATAGTAAGTCCAGACAATAAAAGGTGATCACACAGTCAGCAGACAATGATATCTCCCTCCCCACCAAGATTACTCCTCCAACTACAGTACTAATTATCACAACAATCCTGCTATTATCAGAATCCTGGTCATTTTTATCATAGTCAGGGGTCTTCTGTAATAATATCATCGCTAAATAATAGCATGTACATATATATTATGACATTTTTAGGCGATTCTGTGGTCACAAGCCGAACAGTAGTGTTGTGAGCTCATGCTACCTGCGTTAGCCTTGATGGCTCACTCAGTATTGAGGACCTCACACCCGGGAATGTGGACCATGATTTAAAAAAAAATGGTGTCTGTTTACAAGAGCCCTGATGAAGGTGAGGTGAATCCCGTGTATCCACGGGCTGTTTAAATCTTGCATAGTACTCCAACACGTCACATGACGTATTGCACAGTTTAACACTTTGGCGCACCGCGTGCACGAGACCCGCACTACCCCGGGTGGGCCTCGGCGTTTCACGGGAGCGCGCGGTAATTCTGAAAAGTGTATACTCTCTCCAATTTTGTCGCCTCAATTCTCGTCCTAGGTTTTTCAATTTGGTATCATTGTGTTTGTAATAGAATTCTCTACACGACTAAAGACATATAAAGTCCAAAAGCCTGGTGTACCATCCACAACAAACAGAAAAAGTGAGTGCGTGTTACCCAGGAGCGCATAAGAGCGATAAAATGTGTACACTCCTTTCACGCTTGTCACCTCAATTCCCGTCCTAGAACGTTCATTTTGGTATCATTGTGTTCGCAATAGAATTCCCAACAAGAGCATATGCATATGAAGTAAAAAAAAAAAAACACAGCACGCTCCACCCGCCAACCAAATTAATGTGGCCCGGAAAGAGAGCACTGCGCCACCCCAAGGCGCCTCTCATTACATTAGAGAGCGCGGTAATACTGAAACGTGTATACTCATTTCTACTTTGTCATCTCATTTCTCGTCCTAGGTTTTTTAGTTTGGTATCAATGTGTTCGCAATAGAATTCTCTACAAGAATAAATACATATAAAGCCTAAAGCGCAAAAATGGTGAAGAGCCGCAACTGGACACAGAGCGTCTACCTTTCTGGGTGTCAGACCCGGTCGATGGTAGACATAGAATTTTCCCAACCACACGGGAGGGTGGGGGGTTCTATAGGCCATTGCTCCTTGTGCCTCTCTGAGAGGGGCCTGGTTCTGGCTCTTGGTCCGTGGTAGTACAGACCCGGTAGGTCGAACTCCATGCACTTTGATGCCAGAAAGTAAATAATATCCATATCAGCCCGGATAACTCCAGGGAGCCTCCGGGACTCACTCTGAAAATGGCGTCTCATTACATTCAATGTTGGTTTTTTATATCTGAATGAAATGAAAGGCGCCATCTTTATAATGTAAAACTTGTTGTGAAAGAGTAGATGAGAAGAGAAATTAATTGTTAGTTTTCCCTTTTCAACAGCAGTGTCTGGTAATGGCAGCAACTCTGGGCAAGGCATCAAAAAGGGAGGAAACCGGTTACAAAGTCAGCCTCAATTTCAAACTCATCCTCAACTTCAGTCTCAGTCACAACTTCCCTCAAGTGAACCAGCAGTGCCTGAAGGATTAGACCCAGAAGAAGTAAAGAAATTCAAGAAGAGGCAGAAAAAAGAGCGTCAGCGACTCAGGAAACAACAAGAGCAGATGCAGGAACAGCAGAAAGGCCAATTGCAACAGCTTGAACTGCAAAAGCAACAAGAGATACTTCGCCAGCAACAGGAACATATCCACCAGCAGCAACTGGCTCTGCAACGACAACAGGAGGAGCTTTTGCGACAGCAGCAACAGCAGCAGCAGCAACAAAATAACCCTTCAAATAACTTAAAGAAAAACAAGAGAAAAAATAAAGGAAGTAGCAGTAGTGTCAATTGTAACAACAAAAGTAGCGGTAATAAAGTTGTGAACCACAAGAGTGGTGTGTCAGCAGTGGTATATGATGGTGATGATATGGCTCAGTCCTTTAACCTCCCTCCAGGGGTAACTATCAACAAGGTGGAAGGACAACCAGGCATGGTCACCATTTCAAATAATATGGGTGGTGCCTTCTCACAACCATTTTTACCCAACCCTAATGTGTATCCTAGTCCTCTAGTACAAGGTTTCTCTGCCACACAGGAAACTACTATATCTAAGCCATATGGCAGGTCGCATGCCCCAGGTTTAAGCTGGAATAGTGCTGTGGATGGGGCTGGAAACTATCCAGATAAAGATAATGTTATTGTTGTAGATACTAACAATAGTTTCTTGGGTGCAAGTCCAGCTCCCAGCAATAGTTCTTCAAAACGAGAGATCTCGTCAGATGAAAAAGTCATGATGGCTGTAAATGGGCTAATTGATCCAAGTACCCTCAATATGACTCAAAAAAAGAAATTCAAAAAAAAGAAGAAAGAATTACAGGAAGAAAAAGAAAGGGAGGAGCAGAAGCAAAGAGAAGAGGATGAACTTATGGATCAGATGTATAACTTAGCAACTGGAAAGTGGACTAAACAGCCAGATATAGTGCAAGGTCAGATACAAGGTACCAAGACTCAAGCTAAAAAGAATCAAAAACAAAAAGAGAATAGTAAGCAGCTACTTCTTCAGAACAATTGCATCAAACAAAATGGCCAACAATCCACTAAAAATAATAAACTACAGCAGAAAACACCAGAAATTCAGCAACAAAAACAGAAGCAACAATCAGATATCACGAGGCAGAGCAGTAAAAGCACTAAGCAGAACACTAAAGATACAACACTTCAAAATATTACTAACCAGCCCATTAAAACTGTAAATTCTGGTAGTCAGAATGGTAAGGTTAAACAGCAACAAATTCAACCACAACAAAGTCAGACTCGACCGTTAGCTCCGCAAAAGCCTCCAAGTCATGAGAAGCAACAACTACAGCTCAAGAACCAAAAACAACCTCAGCAACAGCAGCAGCCAAAGCAGAATCACCAGCAACAGAAAGTAAATCAACAGCAACAGAGACAAAATCAACAATATCAGCAACAGCAGCAACACCAGCAACTGCATCAACAGCAGCAGCAACAACAACAGCAGCTGCAGCAGCAGCAACAACAGCAGCAGCTGCAGCAGCAACAACAACAGAAGCAAAATCAGCAACAATTTCAAAAACTTAATCAAGTCCAGCCAAAGCAAAATCAGCAACAGCTGCGTCAAAAACAGCAACAACCAAGACAGCTGCAACAGTATCAGCAACAGGCAAGACAGTTACATGAACCACAAAATGTTAATAACAATCATAAATTAAATAATAGTTTTGGGAACTTGAGTGGGAAAGTGGGATATGTTCCTCAGGATATTGCCCACGAGGCGCGTTATGCTCAGTACCTTGCCGCTAATGCCAACACTCTAGCCAAAATGAGCTACAGTGCATATAATGGTAGTGTTTTAGGAGAACATGTTCATGACTCTTGTGGGGGTGGGGATGATGATAAGAAAAGCTCGAGTAAGAAGAAAAAGGCCAAGAAGGGTAAGAAAGGTCATCTTGAAGACATGACGACTATTGATAGTGTGTTTACTCCAAAGGACGTGGCAGAAGGAGAGCTAGATGAAACAGAACGAGATGTAGAGGCATTCAAGCGCTTTTGTTTCAACAATGTTCCTCGGTACTCGGGGGAGAAACCCAAGGTGAATTTCAATGTTAAGGACATCATGATTAAAAAACGGCCTTGTAATGTAAATCTCTAACAGTGACAACTTGGAAACAAAATGGTTTTCAAAAAACTATTTTATATATTGAGCCATCAGTGCAGCCTAAGAAAATTAAAAGTAATCCATTTATAAATGAGAATGATTGTGTCAACTGATATCCTCTTTTTTCTTACTTTCATATTATTAACATTTCAACAATGCTGTACTATAGTGTCAGCACCTTCAATTAGTAAATTTCTGTTTTTTAATATTTGCATGAATAAATGCTTTATTTAGAACATAAAAGTTCTAGATTTTAAACCTAGCTGTGTGATAGCTTATATTAAGTTTCAAGAAACCTAATGTGACTTTCACCTCAGAGAATTGGTGAGAATACATCTTAATTTGCAAAGAGCACATAAGTTGCATGATACTCCTCTAATTTACAGCATATAACATACTTGACAGTGTGTGTTACCTTTGTTGCATTAAGCATGTGTTTTATGATGCAGGGAAAATAGGTCTTGCATTACAGAATTTTTTTTTGTTTTGTTATGTAGAGGATGTCTTTAATACTATAGTGTGTGTGTGTTAATATACTGAGGCTGTTATATGTTGAAGAACATGTGTTTATTCATGCTTCAAAAAGCATGCTCCTGTATAATGCATCTCATAATTGGTGCTTACATATTCATTTTCCTTATCAGACCACAAGACAAGATGATGCCTGGTATTGTACATTATAATTATGGCAAACTGACAATTGGTCTTTGGTAATATTGTACTAATAAGTTTTTATCTTGTTATATTATCATCATCTGCATACTGTATGTACTTTATAGTCAAGTAATGTTGACACTTAATTCATTCATAATCATTTCCCATCAGTCATTAAATGTAGATTAATTTCATTTTGTGCGAATGATTGCTTGATATGTAATCAGATTTAATCTGTATAACAAGGAAATGTTTAATGTTGATATGTGAGGTTATTAATTGTATCACCTGTCCTTGTACAACTTTGTTATTAACATAATTGGCTGTGAACCTTGTGGATGGGTGTTTGTCAGGTGGAGTGAATCAGTATTATGTCATCCAAATGCTGTTGATCAATTATACCTTATTACTCCTCTTACGTACACTAAAGCTATAAATAGTTACTAGCATGACCTATATATGACAGTTGGTAACATCTTTGGCACCCCTCGTATTTCCGTACAGAAAGGTTGCGTGTTGTGCAAGAAACCACGAAGGGTAATGTTTTGAGATGATAGGACTATATTATTCAGATTTTGACATATAGTGCTATTAAACTGTACAGTTTGAAAGTAGAAGAAATACTAACATTAAATTGTAAGTTGATGTGAAATAGGACATGATTTAGGTTTTTAAGTTGTGTGAGGATAGGAAGGATGGATCTTGCTCCCTGCATGGCTGCCTATCATTGCAGAGGAGCAGCCTTGTTAATAATGCTTCAGAATTTAGAACCCATTTTTATGTAGAATATTTGGTCTTCTTGAAAGGCTTATGCCACTAATAAATGAGTGACCAATGTATTTTCTTTCTTTCTTTTAGTGTAACTCCTGAAATCTTGTGCTGTAATTGCAAGCAGAACTGTCTCAAGTTCTGCTTGCAATATTTTTCTTCTGACCAGGTGGGGCAGTATGTACCAAAGTGTGGCTTCAGTTCTAAGATTAACATTGGATCAATAACCAAAGGACCATTATGTCTCATTCTGAGCCAAAAAGGGAGGAGGTGACTATAGACAAAGGAAACAACTCCTAGGACCAAAGGAATAAAACTACTCTACTGGATGATTCCTGAAACAAACCAACAAAAACACTGTCTTAAAGAAAAGATCCTGGATGAAAGGAGACAGACAAACAAGGAGTGGGTGATGTCTGAATTATTCACCCCTCCTATTCTTGTTGGAGGTAGGGTTCCATATGAAAGCCCTCCTCCAATACCTCTATATGGAAGCCTCACCTTGAAAAAGTGAGAGCCTTCAGCTTTCACTTTTCAACAGTGCGTGTTCTTTTCTGGTGCAGTCCCTCATGCATTGACTTTTGTTGGAGTTTGCTAGCTTCTGGTCAAAGTGGTCATTCTCGGGTGCCTGGGTCTCACGTGGTGCCACTGCCTTTGACGTATGTAATTGCTCTCTCAGTACATAGAATATGCTCAAATCAAGACATTCCTAAGACCATTTACATGGTCTCTGCGCTGAAATGACTAATGATATCTTGTAGCTTGTTTACTTTCTTAGGTCTTTGGGAGGGGAGGGAGGTTTGTCATGCTGTGAGGATGTTCTACAATCGGGCTTTTGTCTGTCTTCCCCTCCCTTTCCAGCTCATTGTCGTCGTGAGGAAGCTTGTGGGCGGCTGCCAGTGTGATGTTTCCTGGAACAGTCCTCTGTTCTTTTGAAACCTTATGCTCCTGCTGCCATCTTCACGAATTGTGCTAGAATTTTTTTTTTATCTTATGTTTCCCTTTTTCTCCCCCCCCCCTCTTCTCCTTTCTAATTGTCATTTCCCGCCGACTTTTTGCCATTCTTGATTATTCTTTCGGACATCTTCTGTTCTGATGCCTGGGTGTTTGGGGAGGCATACTATCTCACCCGTAAAACTGTGGTACCCAACGTTGCGAGCAAGGAATGTTTTTTTGTCAATCCTCCTTTTGTTGCTGAACCCAATCTCGATGGACCGACAGTTCTTAAGGTGGTAATTGTGGGGCGTATTCTCACGATGCACCTCTGGGGAGGCTCCGTCTTGTCGGGTATCCTATCCTCTAATTGGGCTCCATGGTGGGTATGGGGGCTCCTTCATGAATGAAATTATTACCTCTCGTTTCTATGTCACTGAATGATCCTCTCATAACTTCCCAGGCTCGTGGGGTGGGCGATTATTACGTTGTAGTGAGTCGATGGATTGTCCCTTCCGGACAACCCACCAAAACCTGTAGTGTGCTTATACACTCTGGTCAGGATATCACCCTGTACGCTTCCTGTTCTTGGAGAGGGGTTCAATGTCACACATTCAAGGGGTGCGGCTCCAACACTGGCCTCGTCACGTGTACACACCCAATTCGAACTGCTGTGACTCCCTACTCTCTCCTTATTTGGTATGACCTCGGTTCCCCTTTATTTTGAGTTGTAACTCTATACCACCCTGTCCACAGCTATGGTGCTTTCTCTCTCTCTCTTTTCTACTTTCTGGGAAGCCTCACTAGGACAAGGGCAAACACCTGCTGGTTATGAACATTTAATATACAGAGAACATATACAACACACACAAGATACAATAATGACTAACACTATGCTATTATAGTCGGGTTGCATCCAATCCCAACGAGACTACCAGCTGCTTATATCAAGTGGTAGCCCAACTCCTGGCTTGCCACTTATGCTATCAACCTCACCTAATGGGTTAAATCTTGCAATACAATAAGGCACTATTAGCCCTAGAACATATACAAATATACACAAGGAAATCCAGCGTATCGCTGTAAAACTATAGACACCAGTATAAACATTCCTCGATACCAAAAATAGTCAGTCACTCACATCCCACTACATCATGCACGCCAATGACACTCAAACACTCCATCAACTCTATAGGTAAACAATAAGAACCTCCTCTCGACCTTGAGGTTCATTACCCTGAACGTCTTTAGGCTCCTCCACAATTATCTATCGGGGTCTTCTACAGCTCTTCCAGACTGCTACACCATGAAGTTTCCTCGAACAGTACTGGTAAAAAAGTACCACTGGTATTACAGAAGCTCGTGACACTCCTCTTCACAGCTCAAGGTCCTACTCTTCACTGTGGGGCTACTCTTCCTCAGAGTAAACCACTCCTTCAACTGCCTCAGTTCTATTCACTAACTCCCTCTACTGGCTCGAAATTTCTCAGCAACTCCTTCCCCCAGACAAACCTGCAACCCATTGACACGACAATAAAGATGTTCCTCCACAAACATATAACTAAAATAAACTACACAATAAATGTCGCTGCCTGGGAAGCGGAGCGTTAATTGCTGTGACGCCCACCCTACCGTCTCCCGCGCGTGTATAGACTACAAATTTGAAGAAGCCATCCTCAAGTTAAAGCACCACAATCGTTTGTCTTTTCCTGAGACGAGACGCCAAGTCCGCCATCTCCCCTCTTTCGCTAATATATGCTAGTGTGTTGCATTCCATTCCGCCTCGCCCTTCTCTCATTTCTCAGTCTCACAACCGTTTCCAGGCCTTGGACCCGGACTCGCCCACCGACTCCTCCCCTGCTCTTTTACGTTCTGAACCAAGGGGTCCTCCTCCTCCTCCTCCTCCTGGTTCTCCATCTGGTGTTTCACTCCCTCTTTCTCGGTTTGCCGTGTCTCCTGTGTCTCTCTTCCCGTCTCCCGATCCTTCTTCCCAGCTCTTCCCCCTGTCTCTTGGCCCTCCACACCGCCTGTCTGTCCAGGCTGTTGTCCATCATCTCAGCAATCTTCATGCTGATCGCTCCCGTTCTTCTGTTGAGACTATAGAGCCTATCGCCCAGTACGTTGCTGCTGGTACACCTGTCTCTTTAAAACAGAAACGTAAGCCTGGTTCCTCTCCTTCCTTCCCGGCAGGTAAGAAGACATCGCTTTCTTCCCCACCCTCTGACTCTGCATCCCCTCCCATTTCGGTGGTAGAGTCCCCTGTCCCGGCTTTGAAGGTTTCTTTAGCCCTCGATTCTCTCTCTGTTACTGCCCTTGCTTAGGTGGGCTCTCCTGTTTCTGCCCCTCTTCCCCTGCTTCCCTTGATCGCCCCTCTCCATTGCCTCCTCCGGCTCCGGACCCTGTCTGTCCATCTCTTGTCTATCCTCCCGCTCCCTTGCCTCCATCGTCATTGCTCAGTTTGCTCATGCCCCCCTAACCCCGATTTCACTGATCATGATCTTATTTAGTGTACTGTGTTCTTTTTTACCTTCACCTCTTCATTGTTCTCTGTTGCTGTTCTCTCTCCTTTTAACAATGTCTGTTCTTCAATGGAATATTCGTGGATTTTATGCCAACTTCCATGAACTCCAACTTCTGATAGCGCAGTTTACACCACTTTGTGTATGTCTCCAGGAGCCGATGTTTGGTGCTCGTCCTGGTCACTTTCGTGGTTATTCCTTTCTTCCCTTCCCCCCTCCCCCAACCCTCCAGCTTTTGCTGGGGCAATAACTCTACTGCTCTCTTGATTCGTACTGATATTCCCTTCGTTCCCCTATTTCCATGGCCTATCCAATGTTCTGCGGCACGTATCTTTGTGAGTAAAACGTATACAGTCTGTTCCCTTTATCTCCCCCCCCCCCCCCCCCATGGCCCACTTAATTTCTCTTCCTGATCTTAAGCACCAGTTGGACTCCTTACCAGAGCCTATCCTGTTGGGTGATTTCTACTGTCGGCAGTAGACACCCTCTGGGGTGATGTTCTGACAAACTTGACAAACAATACTTAGATTTCACGTGGTGGGTTCTTGACTTCCATAACAGTGACCATTTCCCTATCCTTGTTACCTTTTTCTCTTTTCACCCTTCCCTCTCCTTCCCTAGGTGGCAGTTTGCCAAGGCTGACTGGAACCTATTCACCCTACATGATACTCTCTCTGATCTCTCCACTCTGCCTCTCCCTCGAGCCGCCCTCCTTTTTCATGACACCGTATTCGACGCTGCCCTCCGTTCTATTCCTCGCTCTGACCCCAGGGCACGCGGAAGTGCGTTCCCTGGTGGAATGCAGACTATGCTTGGGCTGTCCGCTGGAAGAAACACCGACACCGGCAGATGGTTGCCTCTTTTATTTTGTTTTGGAAGGCGAGAGCAGTGGCCCGTAAGACCATCCGTACAGCTAAACGTGAGAGTTGGAAATTTTATGTCTCCACCATTACGTCCGATACTCCTCTGTCGCAGATCTGGGAGAAAATCCGCAAGACAGGGGGTAAGTTTGTTCCAGATGTCTCAGCAGTCCTTCACCTCCGTGATACTCTTGTGCCGGATCCAGTGTCGGTCATGACTGAACTGGGTTCACACTTTGACTGTTAGCTCCGGCTCTCATCTTCCCCAACCCTTCCTTCGTTGTAAGCCCGTTCTTGAATCTCATTCCATAGAATTTCCACACTCATCTCCGACTTCCCTATAACGATTCCTTCTCCCTCCCCAAACTTTGACACGGGGGAGACATCTCCCGTCATGCAGGGTGCAGTCGCACCTCCACAGATCTCCAGATCAACTCTTGATACTGGTAATGGCTCAAACGGGCCACCATTTACGGGCTATTCATGCCCGTGCCACCTTTTGGGTGGCTTAATCTTCATGAATCATCAATCCTCAAACTTCAGTCTGCTCTGGCCCTCTGCGGTTCTCTGGCAGCGGGCTCAGATGACATTCATTATGAGATGCTTCGCCATCTCCCTCCATGTGCGTCTCGGTATTTACTGAATCTGTATAACTGTATCAGGGAGTTGTCGTCAGTCCCTGAGGACTGGCTCGATGCGGTTGTTCTCTCTACTCGGAAACCGGGGGTCTCTAGGAACATGCCCTAAGGACTTTCCGAC